GCCTGATTGATTTCTTTCCATTGTTTACTGATTTTTCTCTGTTACTCGACCTAAGTAAAACCCTTTTCCATCTTTCTGACTTGGTTCATTCATACAAAATCTCGGACCCTTTTGATTTACTGGTTGTTAATTGATCTCCTTACCTTATTTGCACAAACCGTGTATTGTCAAAACCTCGTCCTTAAATAACTTTTATGTACTCACCCCTAATTGCCACTACTTTGCACAAAGTGTTTGATTATTTTCTTTCCTTAATTAGTTTATACCCTTTGAATCTGAGTTCCATAATTAAAGGGAGTCTTGTCTAATTGATTGACAATCAGTCCTTCAATTATTTTCTTACCTTATTTTCTCATGACTTTTACACTATAAATAGACGATTCTTTAACACACAGCACACACGAATAGCAATCCTCCACTACTACTTTACAATCTCTTCTGAACTCTTACTAGCACTCTCTTCTTGTCTATTCTGTGGCTTTCACAAGACTACTGCACTTTCTCTTTGTTTGTTTCCTTTGAAACTGTTATGTTCTAATTTAAGTTTCAGCATTATCACAATGTGTTTATTTACAGTTTTTGTATCCCTGCCTGCTTTAACTACTTCTGAATAAATATTTAAACTAGCATGTTAATTTTTTTTCTACTTGTTTCTCTGCTATGAACCCTTGCTCCCTATCCCCCTTATGTGCTGTGAGTTGCAGTTTAAAACATGGCAATATGCAAGTTATTGTCTTATGGTTTGAACTTGATCCCTTAAAGGATCCTAACTTCATATAATGTATTCTAACAGGCTTATGGGGTAGGCCAGCATTCCTCATTGTTGAGTATCCCACCAGCCTGCCGTTGCTTTTCCTTTACTATCTCCCCATTCCCTATACCCCCTAGTGGTATCAATGTGAACTGTTTCCCTTTCCCCTTTCCCCTTTCCCTTTTTCAGAATCCTGCACTTGACACTCTCTTTAGTTCCCTAGGTTCTGCCCCCTTCCTGTGAGCCTTGCCTTGGGACCCCTGAGTTCTCTCTGAAGTTGGACACTTGAGGGTGGCTCTTCCACACTGCCTATGTCCTAGTCTGGTAATGTATTTGGGGTGTAAGCACTTCCGGAGTTCATGTGAGGCTCTTAGGGAACTCTGACACACACCCAAATGAGTGAAAGGCTTTGAAAATCTGACTCTTTGGAGTTAGTTTACTTCCTACTTCAGACAGGAAGTCTGAATCAGGCTCTCCTTGGTTGTAATTTTCTAATTCTGATGTATTTTCTTTATTTTCTTTGGACTGTAATAAACTTTCGGGGAAGTTTAGTAAAAAGGNACGGGGGTAACCGATAGCAGTTAATAAAAAGGGGTTAACGAGTAACTTAGCCGTATACGGGAGTCTCTAAATTACAGTCATTTTTCATATAGCTACCATGCATATTAAGATTTTTGTCATTTTTCATANTAACTACCATGCCTATAAGATTTCTGCATTTTCCATGTAGTTTCCATGCCTATAGATTTTTGCATTTTTCATGCCTATAAGCATTTCTGCATTCTCATTTAGTTTTCATGCCTATAAGCACTTCTGCGTTCTCATTTAGTTACCATGTCTATATGAACTTCAGCATTCTCATTTAGATGCCATGACTATAGGGATCCTACACTTTCATGTAGATATTATGTCTATAGCTTCTGCATACGCATGTAGAAAATATGCCTATAGGTCCTTTCTGATTCTTGCATACTCGTTTTTCACTAGGCAAACTTGTCTATAGGTCCTAATAACCAAAAATGTAATCAGATGTCACGTTCGTAATAAAATGTAACACCTAGATATCATGTTGTAGGTTTTCTGTATTTTTTTCATATCTATAAAAGTGTTTAAAATCAACAATGCGTAGAAAGCATGCCTATAGGAACTATCAACCAAGTCTGAAACGTTTTCACTCGCTTATGAGTCTAAAACCAGTAATAATGCTTGCAGAACCTGTAACTTTTGCTAAAATTTTCTTTTCTTTAATAATCTGGTAACCCCTCTTAATCAGTATGTATTCAATCTATTTCATTCTTTTCTGAAATCAGTAGATATCATGTCTATAGGAGCTCTTGTCCCACACCTAGGCAAGCCTTAGGGTAAAGTTTTTAAACTGCATCATTCTTTATCAATTACGACTAGCAGGCAAGCCTAATTCGGACTTCTTATCTGGAAATATGTGATAAATTAGCCTGCCCCAACTTTTAAGTTTTAATCAGACCCTTAAACAGTACGTGTAAGACATGCTAAACTATGTGCTTTTCTTTGCTTAAAGGAGGTCTGTTTGAGCCTTTTGTTTATTTATATGCTTCTCCCCCCAAACTTACTATATGTGTTTTGTTTGTCGCCTTAGCATTTTTACCTTTTGAAACCATAAATAAGCCCAATACCTCCTCCTTTTAGGATTAGTAGTCCCAAGTACCTCCGGGACTGATAGGATTGGGGCGGGTAATATCATGCAATAAGTAAACGAGACCATTCCGCGCTTTAATACCTTAAAGGGGTGGGAAAGGGTAGATATGGATATGATAACCACACGATAACATCACGCGTAAGAGTGATTACCGGATGCTGTGTGGGGTGATCCATATTATTAATAAACCTAGGACCCCCTTCCCTTTGTTTCTTTGTTTCTTTTAAATCCTTTAAACGTTTCTTCTAAATCAACTCTCTTAAATGCTTTCCGACTTTGTTTATTTCTAACCTTTATGTAAAAAATCCCCTCTTATTTGAAGTCCTACTTGCCTATGTGTTATTTGTACTTAAGTCACAACAATAGTTTGGCCGGAAACCACACTAGTGGATTCTGAGGGGTGCCTAACACCTTCCCCTTGGAATAATTTCAAGCCCTTACCCTATCTCTGGTTATCCAAACTCAAACCCTTCTTAGTGTCCTAATGCACTTAAGTCATTAGGTGGCGACTCTTCAATTCTATTAAACCCAATTCCCAAAAGGGAACGAGTTGTCTTCCCAAATGTCATAAACCCGATTTTCGCGGAGGAAAAAGGGGGGCACGACAAAACCTACTTATCCAGATGCAATTAATCCTTGCTTGCGAATCACACAGTTTTTCATGCATACTTCCGTGATATAGCCATTCCCATTCATGTGGGGAATTGTTGGGTTTTTAAGCTATTATTGCTTAAAATAGGGTGAATGGGAAATGGAGGGGAAAATGAAATATTTAAGTAATATTTGAGTTTCCCTCCTTGATTGTCCCATATGGGAAGAGGAAAAGATTTTTGATGGGTATATAAGCAATTGCTCTTCTTCTAGCTCATAAAGAGTTGAGAAGAAGGCAAGCCTCGCGCCGTCGTCGCTCGCTCGCTCGGCTCGGCTCGGCCCGGCTTCGGCTTTGACTTCGGCTTCGGCTTCGGCTTCGGATTCGGATTCGGATTTGGTCAAATGATTGATCGATTGATTAATTTTTGGACTAAATTTATTTGTTAATAGTAAATATTAACATAAATGTTATCAAATATTTCGTTTAATAACAAAATATTAATATTAAATCCAATTTTCAGTTTTCTGTTTTTGTAATAGAAAATTAACTACCCTTCACTTTTCCCTCTTTATTGTTGAAATAGCTATTTATGTTATGGCATTTATTCTTTGGCCGTTTTGCAAAAACAGCCATTCTGAAGAGTTGCACCTCTTCAAATTTCAGCCCAACTTTGGCTATAAATACAAGTCCATTCTCTCAGATTTTTCATACGAATTTTCTGAGTTCTTCTCTTTCTTCTGCATGTTTTAACTTCAAAGAAATCAACAGTAAGTGTGATTTGCTACCGAACTTTGTGTTCGCTGAAACACTGGGGTTTGAAGTACCACTACACCAGTGTGAAATTCGTTCTATCCTGGGAGGAAATAATCCATAACCTTTAGTACTAGGAGGGGATTACATTCCTTAAGGAAACATTGTGAATTCAGTGGGCACGAATTGGTTTTTTTATTTATTTCGTTTACATTTCTGTTTATGTTATTTTATTTTCTCCAGAATTGTTTTACAAATACAGATTACTAACATATATTTTGTGTGACTATAAATCAATACATAAAAGATAAATTGAGTATTCGAATAGGGAATGAGTCATTCTTTTTGACACAGACTAAAAAGAAATAAATTCATACAGATTGAAACATAGTGAGTAAATAATTAATATGCATATGAATTGATACAAATAGTATTACTACTATATATAAAAGAAATTAGGAAGATGCTAGTGTAATTTAACTTAGTACTTCGTTTGGACCCCTAGAAGACGTTTATTCTAGTTTTGCGTCGCCTACTGTCCCGCGTAGTAGTGCAATGACTCTTTCAGTTACAGGGGACAACGTGGAAGATGACTTGTTATTTCTTATGGCCCCCATGAAAATGACATATTGACTTATTGACTTTTCAGCACCCATCCCCCCCCCCCTCTCGCCCACACCCCCTAAAAAAAGAGAGACAAAATTAAATTAAGCAATGCATATGGATCAGACAATCGAAGATTAAATCATCTTCATGACGTACAAAGGGCGGCGGATGACTGAGTTATCCCAATTCAATGCGCCTTCCGAATTAATTTTGTCATCTTCGGATAATACCACTTTTGATCCCTCAATTATTAATAAATTTAATTTTAATTCTTGTGATATATTGCTAAGCACAAATAATCTTTAATTTTTTAAGAATGTATGTATTTGGTCCCTTTGTATAGGAATTATATTACACTTAGATTAATTTAAAACTATATTGTCCTTAAATATGGAGTACTAATACAAAATTGACATAAAACATGAGTAGTTAAATGATGTAAAGGTATATATAAATTGCACAAGTAGAGGAATCAAAAGCGCAATTTCAATAAATTGAAGTTAAACTGTGCTTAGTCAAATATTCAAGGACCAAAATTAGAATTCAGCAATAATTGAGGGACTATCTAGCTATTTTAGGAGTTGAGTAGAAGTCTATAAATACTCAAGAATGTTAAAAGTCTTTTCTCCACTGCAATTTCCCAGCATTCCAAATAACAAACTCCTCCTTCTCCCCCATCTCTCACTCCCTCTCTGCCTACTGAGTGATTTTTCTGAGCAAGTTTAATTTCCCTTAAACCAGCAAAATGAAGGTATGCGTATTTTATTTCTTTTTCTTTTTCTTTTCATATGTAATTCAAGTCTATAAAGATACCTCTATTTCTTTAATTACTGACAAATGTTCATAAATTTGGGCAGCAAAAGGTGGTTATCAGATTATTTTTGAATGGAAACGATCAGAAATATCGGACCAAGGCCTTCAAAATAGCTGTTTCTCAGCCAGGTACTTAAATCTCTCCTTTCAGTTCTCGATTTTCTTAATATCAATCAAAATCCCCTGAAACTCATTCGAATTAATATATATATATATATATATATATATATATATATATATTAGGTGTGGAATCAGCAGCAATGACGGGGCAAGAAAAGAACCAATTAGAAGTTGTGGGGGAGATAGATGCGGCGGATCTGACGAGCTTGCTCAGGAAAAATTTAGGGCAAGCAGAGCTAGTGAGCGTTGGCCCAGCTGGTGGCGGCGACAAGAAAGACGATAAAGCTTCTGATGCAAAGACTCAAGCTGCAGCTGCGGTGGCTCAGCCCCAACCCGCCTTATACTATTATACCTATCCTCAATACCCTCCTGTTTACCAAATTGGAGATTCATATGATCAATCTGGCTGTTCCATTATGTGATTTCGAATGCCAAATTGGATTATTCGAGTATACTGGAAGGTCAAACTTAGTATTCGAGCATCTGGTCTGATCCGTCCAGAGAGTTTAATGGATTTTGTTGTTTTCTTTCTTCTATTTTGCCTTTATGGATCTTTTGTATATACCCCTTTCAGTTTTGATCATTATAGTGAATATAAGAATTATTGGATAATTCATTTCAATAAGGTACTCCCTCACTTTATTTTTACTTGTTCTTAATGGACTTTGCATTACTTCCCTTAATAAATAATAAATAAGGTATATATTTTATCATAATATCCATAATAATAATTGCATTTCAAAAAGTCTTGAAAAATAATTTAAGGAATGAGTAATTATAAAGGTAAGACAAACAAATTTATCTTCCTCTTGATTTACTAGAATTAAAAAAATATATTTAGTATAATGAATATGTAAAGTAAACGAAGGGAGTATATTGTCCAAGTTTTAAAATGTGAAGTGGTATATGGAAAAGAATCTAAACGTGCAATTCAAAACTTTAGGGCAATATATGAGATGGCCAAAATATTTATAAATCCCTTAGAAGATCATACATAACACAAGTTCAGAATTTAAATCGAATGGTTTTAACTCATAAGATTCTTATTACCGAATTCATTTGTACTTTTAGAATTATGGGTTTAAAAAAATCAAGGATTTAATACTTAATAATTTATCTATGATTTGCATCGAAATGATGAGTTCAGATGAAGTCATTATACCCATGCTCTCTATCTTTGTGACGCGAGACAATGATATACTTGAACAGTGTGTAACTTTTATCGGACACGAAGTTACACCCAACTAAATAAGACAATGAAATTGGAGTACAAGAGTATATTTTCCTTTCACCAAGAATTAGATTATTATGGCTGTTTGTTATTATTTACTTGATTAAATTAGTATTATTCTTTAACCACAATCATTGAGTGATTATGTGAAAAATTGAAAGGTTAATTCGAGCTTACAATGCCACTTCAAAGTTCAAACTCAAGCTGGTGGGAGACAAGTGGATGGAACAGCGCTACGTACTTTATAAAAATCCTAATATGAATTGACCATTTCCAAATGGATCGGACACAAATGACGTCACTCAACTATGCCAAATTATCTTTTAAAGTCACTTTTCTTTTGTTTGTAATAATAAAGTCACTGGAATGTGCCTATTGCACTCAGAAAGTCACTCAACTAGATTTTCCAAATTTTGGATTGTCAAATACCTATTTTACCCTCTAAATTATAAATATATATCTTCTTTTTATTTTTTTATTAACTTTTTAATATTAACAACAAAATTCAAAATTTATTTACAAAATTCAGAACGAAAGAAAATAAAGGTTGTAAAATATATATTCCACTCACGTAATATAAAATAATTATTTAAATAAAGATATTTTTATAATATACATTATATATTCTTGAAAATTATGCTCAATTATATTATTATATATTCTATGCACGACTTAACATAGCATATTTTACCCTATATATAATGTATANTGCATGTAATATATATAATATAATTGAGCATAATTTTCAAGAATATATAATGTATATTATAAAAATAACTTTATTTAAATAATTTTTTTTATATTATGTGCATGAAATATATATTTTACAATCTTTATTTTCTTTCATTCTGAATTGTGTAAATAATTTTTGAATTTTTATTGTTAATACTAAAATAATTATTACTAACTAATTCTAATTAATTTTGTTTACTATGCTCATTATTTTGTTATTCTAGCATTATATATGCTTAAATACTTATTATTTTTTTAATTTATAAATAATATTTATTTATTCTATAGGTAAGTCCATAATGTAAATTAAAAAGGGAAAATTATTATATTAAAAAGTTTAAAAAAAATAAAATGAAGATAAATACTTATAATTTAGAGGGTAAAATAGGTATTTGACCATCCAAAATTTGAAAAATCTAGTTGAGTGACCTTCTCAGTGCAATAGTCATAGTTCAGTGACTTTGTTGTTACAAACGAAAGAAAAGTGACTTTAGGAGATAATTTGGCATAGTTGAGTGATCATTTGAGTAATGGACTCTTAGAAACTTATTTACCGATGTTCTTTATGTTTTGTAGTTTTTAATAAGTATATAGGTTTTTCTTACAAGTTGTGTAGATTGCTCCTTAAAAGGCTCACACCCCATTATTAGTGCATTCAGTTAAGGGATTCAATTATATCCTTTCCTTTTTTTTCCCTCTCCTCTTCTCTCTCTTTTTTTTTTTATAACAAAATTCCTTAATATACGCCCAGAATCTCCATCTTCTCTCTTCCCACCATTGCCAGTAATTTTATATTATTAAATCATCAATTGCATCGTTCTTTTGCTGGGAGACCGGACATCACTGAAAGTGAAAAAATATTCAGGAATTGTATGATAAAGGTATCTTAATTGTATTTAAATTGTATCAGATACATCAATACGCAAAACATAATTGTATCATACTTGTATCACAATTGCATATAACTTGTAGATGGTACATTAATATCCAAAATAATACCTGATACAATACTAATAAACTAATATATAATTATCATATACTTGTGATACAAACTGTGAAATTCATCACGATCTCACAACTGCTCATAATTCAGATACAAATTTGATACAATCGTGAAAGAATTCTTACACGATTCTGATACAATTATGATACAACTTAAAACCGACTCTAAACTTAAACTGATACAATATCATATTATACTTGTATTATTATTGTATCATGTATTGTTTTACGTACAAATTGTGATACAATTCTAAATTATGATACAACTTTGATATTCATCTTTTTTCAAGTTTTAATTTAAAACATCCACCTAGAATCAACTCTAAACTTAAATTATAATGCAATATTGTATTTTAATAGTATTAGTATTGTATCAGAATTGTCTAAGGTATTGATGTATCAAATACAACTCAGATACAATTATGATACATTTATCATACAATCCTAATACAATTCCGAAACTTCATCTTCCCCGAGTTTCATTATGAAATTCAACCTAAACCCAACTTTAAACTTAACCTATCTCTCTTAAAATTGAGATATAAGCTCTAAAGGATATTTCCAATCGTTTTCAAGAACACCCAATACAAAAAAATCACAAACTCGTAAAATCCGAATTTCTAATTCAAAGTTTCGAAGCTTTTTAATGCTATGTCAATGGCAGACCCCTCTACCTGCGATTTCAGAGATAATGTCGATGGATTTGTCAATAGTTGAAGCTTGTTAATAGTTGTTGTTGGAGTTGATTAAGAGAAATATATGATGCTACAATTTTAGAAAGATAGTAGTTTGATTTGTGTGTGTGTGTGTGTGTGTGTGAGAGAGAGAGAGAGAGAGAGAGAGAGAGAGAGAGAGAGAGAGAGAGATTGATTTGTATGAAAGATAGAATGACTTCAATTTTTTTTTGAAATTGGGAGGAAAATCGTGATTGTAGGAGGCTAATTAAGCTGATAGATGGGGATGGGAGATACAGTTACAAATTAATTCCTATATTTAAGGGATCTTTCTTTATCATATTTTGTACATAAATAGTAAATATAGATACACAATGTAATTTTTAAGGAACCTAAAGAAAAGTGGTTAATAAGTTTCTAATATAGTATAGCTAGGTAAAAACCCTTTATTATATCTGTGTTCAATATATTTCATTTTGTATACGGTTAAAATCGAGCCCACCCAATTTTACTGATTTATTGAGACCGGTGTGAAGGATCAAAAATTGATCCCGTAATAGATCAAATCGAGGTAAGAGGACAAGGTATCGTGTTCGAATATTCGCGGTACCTGTCAAGAGCGAGACTGGTAGTGATTGAGACCGACAGGCATCGAGCAAGATCGAAGGTAGCATAATAACAGAAATGCGAGATATCCGTGATTGGTCGAAGATCATGGCGGAAATCTCGGAACGGATCAAATCAAGGACGGTTAATCAACTGATCATGGGATTTCCTTCTGTAATTAGAGTTATACTATAATTAGGATTCATGTACTATATAAAGAGGAGTTCCAATCATTTTTGTAAGACACTTGGATTAACGCATATCAAAGCAATACAACACTTTCTCTTTAGCTTATACTTTCTTGTTCATCTACTTGCTTATATTTTTAACCGTTCTTATACCAATCAGCTTGAGGGTATCCGAGCTCGAGGGCAAAATTTCATTTAAACACTGGTTTGCTTAATCTTATTGTTAATTTCTATTACTAATCTTCATATTTTACAATTAGTATTAGGTGAAATCACGTGTCCTTAAAATCACATTTTAAGTTTAGTTGTTATCCAATTTTCGGGATAAACACATTTATTATTAGCAATTTAATTTGCTTTGCAGAAATCTAAAATTTAATTTGTTATTCAGGTTGTTAAAACTCTTTCAAATTTGGTAGAGATATGTTCCGTATAAGCATAATCTTAAAAGCTTTTATTAATAGAATGTTTCAACATGGTTTTGACTTGGTTGTCAGTTCTGTTTATGTTAAAAAATCAAGTGACTAGTTTTATCACATAAATATCAAAAGAAAATTGATAAGGAAGCAACATATTGAAGACAATAACTGTTCGATATTAACATTTACTCATTAAACAAAGACTCAGAAGATAGAAAGGTTGACTAACTCTGACGTGTGTGATTTGTCAACAAGAGGGCAGCCTCGTTGGGGCCCAGAACTAGAAGCAAACGTCTCTAAGTCCTAAGTCAACTAATAAATAACTCAAGAAGTTTATTCAAGGGTTAATTGATTTTTTTGACTCTTTATAAACTTGTTTTTAGTTTTATTACCTTACTTTTCTTTTTACATATGGGAGATTTATTTTTACACGTAAGAAATCTATCTTTTACACATAAGAGATCTAAAAAGATTATTTTCATAAATTCAAAATGATAAAGGGGCAGCTTACTTTTAATTTTCCAGTTATATTGCACTGCCCAAATAAGGGTACAAGTCCATGTGAGGACTCTACAATAATGTTACCCCAAATAATTATCTCGTCAAATTTTAACTATGAGCTGTTACACTAATTAATTTGACATCATTTTAGTAGTACGCTTAAATAGTTTTTAATTTTGGCATATTTTAAGAAAGTTACTAAGTAGGCGTTTGGAAATAAAATCGTAATTTTTGGAGTTAAGTTGAAAAATAGTACTTAGAATTTTATATTA